GTGGAGGGTCCCGGATGTTGGGCTATCGGCCGGGAGGGTAGGAGTAAGTATATATATATATATATATATACTAATGAGGGGTAAGCATAGGGAGGGCACGACAGATGAGGCCAGAACAAGAGGGCGGAGTGAGGAGGCCGAAAGGAGAGGAGAAGGAAAAGGAGGAGGAGAGGCGGAAGAAGATGGAGGGGGACCGCAGCCATTTTGGTTTCAGTGGGACCTTGCCCCCCCGCGCGGGCCGAAATGGATCCCTTGGCCCGTGGCTGTTTCTACCGAGGGTAGCCACCCGAATCGTTTTTCTACCGCGACTGCCCGCAGTGGCCCTTCATTTTCGTACTCTGGCTCGGGCTACTGAGTAACCTGTTGTTGCTGCTCGTCGCCCCCAAGCCACGCACGCAATCCTGGTGGCCTCACACACACACATCCACGCGTGCCGTGTCCTGCAGTGCGGTCGTGTCTGCCTCCGCCGTCGTGCAAGTCGACTTGCCCTTCAACGTGAGATCGAACTTCCTTGCGGAAACCCCATGCACAAGCTGCCCGCGGTGCAGTGCTTCCAGCTGGGCGTTTTGTACACGCTGCACCTGGGCCGCCACCTGCCCCCCAGGGCGCGACAATCCATGGGAGACGAGCTGCCGAGGGTGGCGACTCTTATCAGCCCAACGGACGCCACCCTGGGGTTGGATTCTGCCTCGATGGTCAGCAGCGGGAAAGAGGACGAGAAGGGGGAAGGGGGGGCAGAGAGGACGAGGAGGAAGGGGACAGCGAGGCGGAGGACGAGGAGGAGCAGGAGGAGGACGAGGAGGAGGAGTGGGAGGACGAGGAGGAGGGGGAGGAGGAGCATGAAGAGCAGCTGCAGCAGCAGCAGCAGCAGGAGAAGCGGGACGGGAAGGGAGGCCGACGCGTCGGGCCAGCTCGCGCCCCGAGGACCCGTTGGTCGCCCCCTGCGCGTGCAGCGGGTCCCTGCGCTGCGTGCACAGCTCGTGTCAGCGGGTGCGCAGCAGTCGTCGTCGGTGACGTCGTCGTCGTCGTCGCCACCACCGCCGCCGCCGCCGTCGTCGTCGTCGTCGTCGCCGCCGTCGTCGTCGCCGTCGTCGTCGTCGTCGCCGGGAAGAGGAGCATGAAGAGTGCGTAAGAAGAGGAAGGAGAGGATGGATATGGGAGCAAGAGGGGTAAAGGGGGAAGAGAAGGAGAGGAGAAAACTATCGGATGGAAGGAGGACGGGGGAAAGAGGAGGAGCAAGAGAAACACATGGAGGCGGGTGGAAGAGGGATAGGGGTAGGATGTTGAGGCGGCGTAGGAGAGGAAGGGGAGCAACAGGGCGAGGAGTATGGAAGGGGAGGAGACTGAGGAGGAGGTAGAGGAGGAGGAGGAGGAGGAGTGGTGGAGGAGGAGCAGCACTGGCAGCAGGGAAGGATGAGGGAAGATGAATGAGGAAAAGGACTGAAGTCTGAGGAGGGAGGAGGTGCAGGAGGAGCACGAGGAAGAGGAGTGCGGAGGAGGAGGAGGAGGAGGAGGAGGAGGAGAAGGAGGACCACTGACCAAACGGCCAGGTCCACAAGCTGGCCGTCATTCGACGGTCCTTCAGGGTTTTACTGGAAGTGTGAATCGGGGACGCTCTTTTCCTCAGGAATGGCTACAACTCGCGGCCAGCTCCTGGGGGTGATAGCAATGGTAAGCCCTTGTTACGAGCCCGCATTCACCTTGAGAGTTCGGAGTGGCTTCCCTGCATGTGGCAAGCCTTTGATGGGTTGAGGCGAGCGTGTTATTTCCCAGAGTGGGTGTTTGAGTGAGTAAGCCTCACATGCGCCCTTGGGCAAGTATCCCGACTGGACCACGGCTCTGCGATTTGCGCAGTGCGCTTATGACCACCACTGACTTATCCCACCTCACCTGCCTGTCTGTTTAGGCAAGGGGTGGGTAACGGGGCTGCCTCCTACCGTGGTTGAGGGACCACCTGAGTGGCGGAGGCGCTAATCCTTCCAGCGCACTTGGTCTTCAAGGCGGGGATCTCTTGGACAGGGATGCTCTCCGTGGTGCCGCGGGGAGCAAGAGTGGGAGGGGAGAGGAGGAGGAGGAGGAGGAGGAGGAGGAGGAGGAGGAGGAGTAGCAGCAGCAGCAGCAGAAACACAAGGAGGAGTAGAAAGGGGGGAAGAGAACTATGCCAAGTAGATTGCGGGAGGTGGTGGGGAACCACACGATGTCTGCACAGCTTGTGCGATCGGGTGCGCCAGCTGTCGTCGACGTTGTCGTCGTTGGGGGGAGCGAGTAGGGAACTGGAAGAGGAAGACGAGGGATGTGGGAGGACGGGGGTGGAGTCGGAGAAAGGAGACAGAGCAGAAGGACAAGGTCGAGAAGTGGGGAGCAGGGGGGGAGGGTAAGAGAAGGAGGAGGGGGCGCAGCAGGAGGACGGTGCTGCTGCGGAGGGGTAGGAAGATGGTGGCGGGGACCAGGGCGAGGATGACGAGGAAGTGAGGAGGGACGGAGCAAGAGGAGGGAGACTGGGAGGAGCAGGACTGCTCAGGAGGAGGAGGAGACGAGAAATGAAGGGGGAGCAGGAAGGAGGGAAGAATGAGGAAGAGGAGGGGGAGATGACCAGAGTAAACCCAAGATGCACGAGGGATGCTATAATATACACCCTGCCGTTGCAAGCCCCCTCCTGGCAAGCCCCTATAAGCTTTCCGTTTCGATGCAAGAAACGCCCCGGTTGAAATACCCGCATCTCAAGGGTTTGTCATGCAGGGGAGAGCCTTGTTTCGAAAAGGAATTGCCTTGCACCCTTCGATCGCGAAGACGGGCATTCGGAAAAGGTTCGAACAGCTGGTTGAAAGCGGCGTCCAGGGTAATACCCGGCTTGGAAATGACCACCACCCATTTGTAGAATTGTTGCAGGCACTTACACGTTTTGGCCATGGATTTCAATGACGTCGCAAGCGATCGCCCTAACCTACAAGTCCGAATGCTTTGAAGGAAGTCTCAAGCGAGAGCCCGTTCGTTGTGAGCGTCGAGAAAGTGTTACAAGGATGGTGCCGTCCTCCGTTCTTGTAACACTCTCGACGTTCACAATCAATGGCCTTGGCGCTAAAGCAATAGCCCCACTTTGAACATGAGCCGACCTCCATCCGTGTAGCCAGCAAGTTTTTAAGACGAATGTGAATGGTGCTTCGGCGAGACCAGTATTCTGAAAACGAATGCGCATCCATCTTCGAATCTGTTGTAAGTCTATTAACAGAATGCGCGCAGCGCTAAAGCGATAGCTTCATGTTGAAAACGCTTCCCCTCCAGTCTAGAGGATGTTGTTCACTTATAAGGCGCATGCGCGCGGCGCCAAGGCGAGAGGCTTATTTTGAAGACGTCCTCCCTCCATAGTTGTTATAGCTGCTGCGGATAAAAATCTTCAGGATCATGACGCGCCTGACCCGCCCTGCCGCGGGTCGTGGAGCCGCCTTGGCATTGTGTTGGGTATTCTGGAGGTCTTGCGCGGTTCCAGGGAAACGGGGAAACGTGTGTTGCGGCCAAGTAGTGCAGCATCGCAGGCCCATCCTGGGTTAACTCTGGGTCCTCCTCCCTCTCTTCCGCAGTCACCTCCTCCTCCTCCTCCTCCTCCTCCTCCTCCTCTTCCCGAAAAATGTCCCCCCCCCCCCGCCGTCCTGCGTCTGTGCCTCCCCCCATGCCGATCACCCTCCCCGCCCCCCTCCTCGGCAGCCCGAGGAGGCCCGCGCTCCCAGCAGCCACCCCACCGCCCCAGGGCTCGGGCGCTGCGCAGTCGGGGGGCGGCCAACGGGAAGGGGAAGCAGGGGGCACTTGTCGTGCACCCTCGGGGCCCTGCACAGGGGAACGAACAATGACAAAACCACAAAAACTCGGAGGTCCGCGCGGATTTCTCAGATCGGCGCTGGAGCCCCCTGGCGGCGCCTCCGGCGCCGCCCTGTGCGCGCTGCGCGCGCACAGGAGGGGGGTCCAACGCCGATCCGAGAAATTCGCGCGGACCTCCGAGTTTTTATGTTTGTGTCATTGCTTGTTTCCCTACTAAAGCGCCCCCCTGGGGCCCCAAAGGGGCACGACAGCTGCACCTTTCTTCGCCCCCTCCTGTCGATCGCCGCCCATTAAGCCCAGACCTCCGACATCATGATTCGTTCGCAACGTCGACCCTCAGAGGTCTCGACCCATCCTCGAGGAACCAGCTTCTCATCCCGGGACATCTTTTGGCGGCCCCGGGGCCCAGCATGGGCCCCCCGAGGCCGAAGACATGGGAACCTTTCCCGACAGACGGGGGCCTGGGCCAAGCAACGCTCCGAGGGCGCACCGCCCGCCGGCGCCGCCATGCAGGCCTCCGCGCGCCCAGCGCCCAGCGTTAAGTCGGGCCCGTCCCTCTACAGGAGGAATATGCGACAGTAGTAACCAACATTCTTGAGCATACGTAGCACCCCTCAGTTGCGGATAAGAGTGAGGCGGCGGCGGGTACGTCGGCAGTCTGCGAGGCTCTGAAGAAGCCCACCGCAGGCGCATAATTGTTCAAGCTATAAAGCGAGCCCGCCGCAGGCGCCGATTTTTTTGTTGAACACTGTGGGTGGGTCGACGGTGGGTCGCGGGTGGGTCGCGGGCCCGGTCGTGGGTGGGTCGCGGGTGGGTCGCGGGTGGGTCTTAGGTGGGTCGCGGGTGGGTCTTAGGTGGGTCGCGGGTGGGTCGCGGGGTGGGTCGCGGGTGGGTCGCGGGCCTGGGTCCCGGGGTGGGTCGCGGGTGGGTCGCGGGGTGGGTCGCGGGTGGGTCGCGGGTGGGACGACGACAACAAACAACAAACAACAACAATAACAACAACAACATTAACAACAACAACAACAACAACAACAACAACAACAACAACAACAACAACAACATTAACAACAACAACAACAACAACCACAACCACAACCACAACCACAACCACAACCACAACAACAACAGCAGCAACAACAGCAGCAACAACAACGCAACAAGCAGAGCACTCACCACGGATTCTCCTTGTAGCCACTTACCCAGGGACGGTGAATGGCCGCTCGCCCCCCTCACTCTGATCTATATGTACACATACACACGTATTCATATATACACATTTATATATACATATACATATAGATATTCATGTCAAGAAATATGTATATGTCCTATATGCACACATATCGGTTGAATTGTTCAGCTGAGATCCCCCTGCAGGGGGACATGCCCGACCTAAGCCCAGCGCCCACGCGCGAGCGCCCCGGCCAGCCGCCGCCGGCCAGCCGCCCAGGCCTCCCGTGGCCGCGCGCTCGGCGGCGCGGGCGGCGGCGCCCGCGGCGGCCGCGGGGCGGCGGGCGGCGGGCGGGCCTCCGCGGGGGCGCAGCGGCCGCCCTCGCCGCCGCCCCGCTGCTGCGGCTCCGCGCGAGGCGGCCGCGGGGCCGCGGCAGGAGGCGGCTTTTGATGGGCCTCCTCCTCCTCCTCTCTCCTCCTCCTCCTCCTCTCCTCCTCCCTCTCTGTTCCTCCTCCCTCCCTCCTCCTCCCTCCTCCCCCCTCCTCCTCCTCCCCCTCCTCCCCCTCCTTCCTCCCCTCTCTTCTCCTCCTTCTCCTTCCTCCTCTCATCATCATCATCATCATCATCATCATCATCATCATCATCATCATCAGTATCATCATCATCATCATCATCATCATCATCATCATCATCATCATCATCATCATCATCATCATCATCATCATCATCATTATCCCTCCTCCTTCTTCTCCTCCTCCTTCTCCTCCTCCTCCTCCTCCTCCTCCACTGCGGCAGGAGGCGGCTTTTGATGGGCCTCTTTTGGCGACTACAAAGGGTATGGTTGCGCCCGGGTGTGGTTTGCGATCGGCACCGTCGGGGCCTGGGAGGCACGACGCTGTCCTCGTCGGGCCTCCTCGGGGCGCGGCGGAGAGCTCTGTCGAGGTCCTCGCCCGCCCCCCAGGGTGCCCCTCGGGGTGCCCGTTGTAAACCACACCCTTTGCAAGCC